TTATATAAGGGTTTTTTTAAAAATTTGTATCTTGCCCATCCTGTGAGCAGGCTCAGGGCGGGTCACATCATCTCAGATAATACAGGAAGGTTTAAAACACAATAAAACATTACATTATAAAAAAATTTAATCAGTAGTTATAGCTGCTGGTGGAAATTCTGACCCATCAATACTGATGGATATGCCTGGTTGCTGGCAGATGGGTGGCCAGTAGGTGGGAGACTGCAACCTGGGGGAGGGGGGGAGGCCATAGGTGAATGTCTGCTGGCTCACTGGCGGAAGGGCTCCATCTTGCAGGCCCTGCGGGGCTGAGTAAGATCCTGCAGAGCTCTGATCTCAGTGGGGAGCGTGTTTCACCAGGTGGGGGCCAAGGCAGAAAAGGCCCTGGCCTGGGTCGACGGAGGTCTTTGGGCCCAGGGACCACCAGAAGATGTTGATTACTAGAGCGTAAAGCTCTTTGAGGTGTATTTGGGAAGAGGCAGTCCCTTTACCACTGGACTCAAAGATTGTTTTTCAGGCTATGATGTTAGTCTGGTCTTCCACACATCCTTTGTGATAGGCAAGCAAGTGACCTAGGGACAGTCACACATTCTCACCCTAACCTACCTCACAGGATTGTTGTGAGGATAAAACGGAGAAGCAGAAAACAATGTAAGCTGCTTTGGGTCCCCGCTGGGAAGAAAGTCTGGGTATAAGTGAAGTACAATGAAAATAAATACATTTGTGAAGGGCACGGTTATTTCTTAATACCGAATAGAACTCTGAAGCCAGCCGGAACTCTGTTCCTGTACATTCCTGCACAAAAATAGCCCTGCTAGGTTGCCTTGTGCTGATGTGTGGGTCTGAGTAACCTGGCTATTTAATGAATGGAAAGGATGGCATTGCCCTGACTGCAATGGCCTCTGAGCTGAGCCTCGTTCCCTGGGACTGCTTTGACAGGCTGCAGGGCTGAAATTACAGGGGAAGCATAAAAGGCATGCTTTGCTCTGTGCTGGGCCATGCCCAAAAGCTGTAATACATAGGGCAGCTAATGAATGGAAGCACTCGCTTCTGGAGTCCTGGCCCCGCTGGTGGACCTCCTGCTGGCCCCTGGGTTTTGGCCACTGCATGACACAGAGTGTTGGACTGGATGGGCTGTGGGCCTGATCCATCGTGGCTCCTGGGTGTCCAAGGAAGTTAGTGCATCCTTTGGATCCCTGGCGTACAGGTTTTCCTGGATGAAAATCAATAACCTGTTTCACTTGCTTAAACAGCCAGTGTAATGTAGGGGTTAGAGTGTCAGACTAGGATTTGGGAGATCCCCACTTCCCCATGGGAGCCAGCTGGGTGACCTTGGGCCAGTCACAGTCACACTCTCAGACTAACCTACCTCACGAGGTGGTCGTTGTGAGGATAAAATGGAGGAGAGGAGAATGACGTCAGCTGCTTTGGGTCCCCTTTGGACAGAAACTCAGAGTATAAATGAAGTAAATAAATAAAAACTTGCCCCCTGGTTTGTTTGTTTTTAAATGTGGACATGGATCCTTTACAGTCCACCTTTCTTACTTGGACTCAAGGCGAATTACACAAAGCGAGTCAGTACTTCCTGTTGTATCTATGACTTATCTATGAATGAATTCAATAAGTATAATAAAGAGTCTTGACCAGTTCCCAGAACAATGGGCAGTCGTTCCCCTTGCTGCTATTAGCTAGTGCAGTTGATGGTGAGGCCTAGTCCCCCCCCCCCTTTGCCCACCCAGTCTGAGCTCAGGGAGGGGGGGGGTGTCTTTCCCTTGGCAAGACTGCTAAGGTTCCCTGCTGCCTTCAGCTGTAGATGGGCAGCGTCTGGGAGTTCCTGAGCATTCCTTCTTGTTCTTTGGGGTGATACTGTTACCCCCATATTGGCAGGGAGGGCGAATGAAAGTTGTCCTAGAGAAGCATCCCCTGTTCTGAGGAGCATCCGCTAGTGCAGTGATGGCGAACCTTTTAGAGACTGAGTGCCCAAACTGTGACCCAAAACCCACTTATTTATCGCAAAGTGCCAACACGGCCATTTAACCTGAATACTGAGGTTTTACTTTAGAAAAAACAACTCATACATTGACTTAAGATGATCCAAACAAAGTAAGGAAAGCAATCCCAAATGCTTTAATTTACTTAAAATTATTTGGCAGAGAATTTGACACTTTAATGATGGTCTGGGCCTGGCTGGGGCGATGGCACGCGTGCCCACAGAGAGGGTTCTGAGTGCCACCTCTGGCACCCGTGCCATAGGTTCGTCACCAGTGCGCTAGTGGATATGTCCAAGATGGTACCTTTTAATTTTTTTAAACTCAAAGTTTAATTAATTTTTGTTTGTGAACACATTTCTATCCAGTCTTCCCTCATGGCTCGAGGGAGCTCAGAATAATAGTTAAAACATTCCCAGCTAAAACCAAAAATAAAACAGCAACCCCCAGATCTCCCCCTCCCCCTCTTAAAAACATGCCTGCCATTCAACCCCCCCCCCCTTCAGAAGGCCTGGCAAAGAGGCAGGCCTTGCAGCGCCTCCTGGTCTCCAAGGAGCCTCCCCCGTAATACCTTAATATCTCAAGCAATGCTTCAGCCTCTTTGGTGGGACAGCGTTTGGGAATGCCTGTGATTCAGTCTAAACGCTGCTGTCCGCGAGATATCTGTGTGGTATCACAGAGCTTGCCCAGGAGGTGATGATTTTGTTGGTTTTGGCTATAAATCTTCACTTTCCCAGGACACGCTTGATTGCAAAATTCTTTACAATCTTCATCTCACTGCCCCTGAAAGCAGCTTTATGGAGTATGGGGGGGGGGGTGTTCCCATTTTACAGATGAGGAACTGTGGCTGAGTTAATTTGGCCATTTTGAGTGTGTAAACGTTGTTAAGAACATCAGAAGAGCCCTGCAGAATCAGACCAGTGGTCCATCTAGTCCAGCATCTCCCACAGTGGCCAACCAGTTCCTCTGGAGGGCCAACAACAGGGCAGAGGGGCCGAGCCCTTCCCCTGATAAGAACCTAAGAAGAGCCCTGCTGGATCAGACCAGGGGTCCATCTAGTCCAGCGTCCCGCCTCACACAGTGGCCAACCAGTTCCTCCGGAGGGCCAGCAACAGGGCAGAGAGGCCGAGGCCTTCCCCTGAGGTTGCCTCCTGGCTCTGGGATACACGACTCCTCCATGAATTTATCTGATCCCCTTTTAAAGCTGTATATCATACACATCTTGTTGTGACCCCTGCAACAACTGTAAGACCTCACAGGGTTGTTGTGCGGATAGAATGGAGGAGGGGTGAGGAGAACCACAGAGGCCTCCCTGAGCTCTGTGGAGGAAAGGCTGGATAAAAATAGGCCAGAACTGAAAATCCATACAGATGAAGAGGCACACAGAGGAGCTGAGGAAACCTCCTTGCTGTGTGGGGAGGGGGTGGGGACTGAGAGGTGGTGGCTTCCTTTAAACCATCTCATGAGTTTGGTTGCAGACTCAGATCCCCCCTGCTGCCAGTTTCCTGCTTTGCCATCCAAAGCCTGATGCCATCCCGTTCAGAACCCCCTTCAACACTCTCTGATTATTTTAAGCAAAAACGGGTGACAGGAGAATAGGATCATTTCAGCAAAAGAACACACAGGCTGCAGTTCCTTTCCTGGGATTAAGCCCCATTGAATACATTGGGATTTACCTCTGAGGAGACTGGTCTAGGATTGATTCCTTAATGAGCTGATCTCTGCTTTGAATGACACTGAAAATAGATGGGTTTTATAAGCCCAGTTGACGGGGTTTGCATCTTCTGACATGATCATTCTGTAGTTACCCTTCGTTTCTTTGATACTGTGAAGCACCCTTAAGTGTAATGATGGCCGTTGTTTTGGTCTGCAGTTGAACAGTTAGATTGTTGATCTCTGAGGTGCCACTGGACTCAAATCTTAACTGTTCTTAAATTTAATGAGGGGAGAAATCGGCTAAAGCATACCTTTACTGCATATGATTTAGTAGAATTGTCACCTCTCAGTCATTGCTAAACTCCATGTACCTGCACAAAAGATACATCTGGCATATAGTTTTTCACAAAGACAGGAACTTTAAATAACTCTAGAAATGGCCTTCTTACACAGATTGCTAAAAAAGACAAAGAGCTGTTCTCCTGAATAATTCAGTAAGCAAGACACATGGTAGCTGGAATAAATTACAGAGTTCTGGCAAATACTTTCAAGACTCCCACTGATGAAACCAGCCGCGTTATTCATCTGCCTATGAGGAATGTCAGTAAAAATACATTAGCAGGAGGAAGATGGCAGGATCGCCGGAAGTTCTGGAAACTAAAATGACTGCATCGATCATCTACAGATTTCGAGATAGCAACACACACCACCCAAATACCATAAACTTTTACTTTAAGGCAGAAATTTGTTATGGAAATTTAGCTCTACATTTAAGCCTTCCTAGATCATCTTTATATGGGAGGCTTTGATCTTTCCTGAATTATTAACAGAATGTATTTATTCATAACACACTATTTCTGATGTGCTGCTGACTCCAGCAGGCCCTTCTAAACCGGTTTACTTCTGTGGGTTTAGGCAGGTGTGCCATGCCGGATTGCCTCGCAAACCCCTCGGACCTTCTTCAATTCACAAAATTGCACCATTTTATACTTCCACTGAAAGATGGTGATTTCAAACTAGCAGAACAATCACCCATGAGAAGACCAGTTGGTTCAAGTAACACAGTTTAAAAGGAAAAGTCACGTTTCGAAATAACTGGCATGATCCAGCAACAGTTTAGAATTTCCCCCTCCTGTCGATTTCGGTAGGAGAACGGAGCCCCTCCTCATTAATTGTATTTGCATGTCTTTGTCACTGAAATCAGAGGGGCTTAGCGGTGTCTGACTCTGGATGGATCATATGAAACGTAGACTTTTTGTGTTAGAAAAACCCAAAAAAATCTGGCCACGCTGGAAATGTGGTGCTTGTCACACTAGGGCCCAGGTTCACAGTAGGAAAAAAACACTCAACACTCACCCGCGTTATTAGACGACCCGACTTTCGTCATCCAGTTGTAAGACCTGAGTCTTTGGTTGTGGGGAGAGATGTGATCTGCATTAATGGTATCTATGCAAGAAGCTGCAGGGTTCAGGGAGTTGTAATTGGCAGCGGCGTAGAAGCCGTGCCCAGGAGAAGATTCACTTGTGCTGGAGGACCCAGGGCCGTAAGGGCTCCAGTCCTCCCTTTGCAGGCTGTAGGGAGATCCCCAACCTCCTGAAGGCTGCCCTTGGTTGTCCATGCTCTGTGCATGATGGTATCCCATATAATCCGTGTAAGGAGTCCCGGAGGCAAAGTTCTGTCCTGGCAGGCTGTGATTGTTGCTTCTGATGGATCCTGGATACATGCTGGTTTCTTTTCCTGGAAGGCAGCTCACATGCATGATGATTTTAACTGGTGAAAATACTTTGACATCCTGGACCTTTTTCTGTTCCCCTGTGTGTTGATGTGAAAGGTTATTTACTCCTGGTTGTTGCTTGTCATCCGGCAACTGGCATTACCAAGACCTGGTCTGGTGTCAGACGATCTGCCTACTTCTTAATTGCATTTGCATGCAAATGAAGGGCCGACCATTCCAGTGACCCCACCTTTCTGTTAGATCTCCCTGCCTTGCCTTTCCTCCTCCTCCTCCTCCTCCTCCTCCTCCTCCTCCTCCTC